AAGTGTTGACGTTATATTGGTGCAGTTTTATCACCAGCGCATGCATTTTTAGGTGTGTTTGAAGAATTTCAAAGTAATTAGACAATCAGAAAACCTTTTAAATGATTGATCACCCGTGTCTGTGGCCATGCGTGTGGACTCAGCCAAGGCTCTGAGTGAGAGCGCGACGTTACGCAGATTGAATATGCAATGTGCTTTAAACATGTGCAGATTGTGCTGAAGTGAGACTCATTAGAGCCCATATGTGTATGTTAAAATACCAGCTATGATTGTGCACACTGATCTGCATAATTTATGTTCTGGATGGTTTTTCTAACCCTAACCTTTTCTTCACTTCACAGCCCGCTGATACCATTTTCCTCACATTTAGGAGAGTGAGGAATGGTTATGGGAAACCATATCTCCCACAGAGTGCTGGCACTCGTAGCAATGCTTAGAAACATAAACTAAAGATGAAACATAAGTCATTATATTACTGTAAATTGCAGTGTCTTAAACTGAAATAAAGGCTTTCTATTTAGAGGAACGACAACTTCGTATAGAACATGTTTCAGAGAGACGTTTTGACGTTTTATGTATTTTTGAGAAGCAAAAACATGTTTTTGCTTCCATGTTGAAGACATGTTGGTTTCAATCTATAAATTAAGGTAAAAACAAATGCCTAATTGTAAAAAAAAAATAAAAAAGTGGGAAAACGTTTTAATCTCTAAACAAATTAATATATACGGGAAATGTCCTTATATAAACAGAGCCAACAGCAACTGTGTTTCATTTAGAGCCATTTTTGTTCCTTAACTGATTACGTGGTTGGGTCTGTGTTTACACCCAGATGTTTTTTAATTTGACAACAAAAGCTTTAAGTTCAGTTTTGATTGAGCACTCTTTGTCCTCAACGCAAAAGACCATCAGCTAACGATTCGCTTGAATTGCAAAACAGACTCATTATGTGTCCAAATGTTACAAAACAGATAATCACTGACTAAACATCAGGTTATTTTGAGCTTGTTAGCATAATATTGTTTACAGTTATCTCCGAATACTTTTCACAGAGGTTGAAGGCTCTTCACTTTTAACACCGGCTTTGTTTGCACCAACAGCTTCATATGCTGATTTTGATGCCGTGCGTTGGAAACAGGCTGGTTTGAAACTAAAGTTCAGCTTTGAAACAAAACGAATAACTTTTTTTTTTTTTCCAAAGCGTTACTGGAGATGAAGCAACTTTTGTGAATAAGCATTAGCACAACAGATACTGTATGTAAGACATGTTCATGCCAGCATAAGACAAAACTGTCCTCATATACATTGCTTCAATTGTTACCAGTTTATGACAAATGCATGTCAGCTGGGGGGGGGCACTATTAAACATGGCATATTTAATGAAGAGCAACATCCCTGTCTATTACAGACATGCACTTCCACACCTTTGATGACACAATTTAGTCTAATTTATTTGCTCCATTTAAGTAAAATGTGTGTTAAGAAAATGAAAAAACAAAATAGTAACCAAAAATAATCCATGCTCAATAATCCAGGTATACAATCCAACAGTTTTCAGTCAGATCATCTGGACAGTTTTTTTGTTGTTTTTTTCTGAAACGTTTCACCTTCCATCCAGAAGGCTTCATCAGTCAAGGAAACACACAACAAAACTGATTCTTCCCACAAACAACTAGTTTAAAACTAGTAACAATTGAGATGTTTTATATATACAGTGATCTCTGAGCATGATTTTTTTTTTCTTTCTTTTTAGTCTCAGTGGGATTGGACAATAAATTGTAAATAAAGTTCAGTGTGGATGATGTGTTTTATAAATGAGTTCTCATTGCGACTGTGATCAGATGATATGACTACAGCAGTGAAACTGTCTGAAAACAGCATTTTATTTTTATTATGTTGTCCAATTATTCATATAACCCTTAAAAGTAGCTCAAAACCAAACCCTAGTATTTTATTTATTTTTTAATTTTTTATGTGAGTTCATTAATCTAATGAGTAAATAATTGATCTTTGCTGAAGTGGTACATTGAAACAGTTTGACACAACTAACAGCATAATTACCAATCTGTAATGTTAATTTGATGAAGTGTCACCTTCATAATTTAATTATCTGTTTGAAGTTGTTTTCCTGTGCCCCCCCTCCCCCCCCACACACACGCGTGCAAAAGTTTGTCTTTCTATCTTTACAGAGACTTTGCATTGACTTCCACTGATTTTTCATTCAATTTTATTGCCCAACCCTAACCATTACCAGTACATACCTAACCATTACCAGTACATACATAACCATTACCAGTGCATACATAACCATTACCAGTACATACCTAACCCTAAAATTAGGCCCTAACCAACCAATGGCATTGCTCATTATAGGGCCCGGGCTTTGGGCCCTGTAAGGAGCCGTTGGTCCTCACAATGTAGGATGTGTTGGGAAAATGGGCCTTACAAGGTAACAAACACACACACACACACACACACACACACCAACACACACACACACACACACACACACACACACACACCTTTTCCGCCCTACTCCTTGCACAAGTCAGGAAGTGACAGTTCCCATCTCACGAGGTTAGGTACATCCTGACCTTTTGGTTTCACAGCCCAGGACATCCTGATGTTTCCTGAAGCAAGTTTCCATCCAAGCTAATCTAAAATGACCAGACTGGTTCTGACTGGCTCTGTATGATTTTCAAAGTGTTATCTTTGGGTGAGCTTCAGCCCTTCTTATTTTACAGGAAGAACCAGAATGCATATGTTTAAATCAAAGTTTAGGTCTGACCAGCTCAGCTGCTTTTTTTATTTTATCTTCTGCCATGTTTCAAATTCCACTCCACAAACTGTCTCATTAAGAAACATTTGCAAGCTTTGCTGACTCCCAGAGGCATAGATCAATAGCTGGTGGTATATTTAATGAAAATTAGGTTTTATTTGTCTGAGACCATTAAGTGTGAGCCAAATATAAATTTGGAGAGCTCGTGTCTTTTCACACAGCTTGGCACTTTCACAGCGTAATTAATTGGACAATGTGAATTAGCCATTAACTCTCATGGCAGTTGATTATCTATTTAAAACATACCGGTGTTAGAAAAATGTATGAATGAGTTTGGTCTTTTTTTTTTATTGTCCACCCTAATTAGTGTTGAGCGAGCATAGTTACTCTGTTCTCAGCAAAGCAAAAAACTTTTTTTTTAAAATTACAACTTCAGTTTATTTCGCATTATTATGTAAAATTATTTTGTTAAAATAAAACCAATAAATCTTATAACAGGATGTCTCGCAGCCATTCCTGACATGGCTTGATCACTGAATAGACCCCAGATGGCAGAACCGAAGCACAGACAGATAACAGGGTTACAAAAATAAACCTCTTTATTGTCTTTGCAGGGGAAAAGGAAGTGGAGCTAGGTTCGGCCTTGATGTTGGAGCTGGGGAGACACGCCGTGTGGTTCTGGGTTCCAGAGGTCGTCTTGAGAAGAGGATGGTGAGTACCTTTGTTGGATTGTTGGAGCTTCACGGAACAGAGAGTGCAGGAGCGGGTTGGAGGTTGATGAGTGTTGGAAGGGACATCCCATAGGAGGCTCCTGCCTTGGTGTAGAAGTCTTGGAGAGCCCGAGATGAATCTTGACGTGGAAGTCAAGAAACTGAAAAAACAACAAAGCGTGGAAGCTTGTTAGATAAATATTGTCAGGAGACAATAACAGGCTGACCATTACTTTACCATGTAAAGGGTAATGTCCCAGCACTGGAGAAGAGCCTGGCTGCAGCTTTTATAGAAGGAGCCGAACCCATTCTCCAGAGCAGGCGGCAGGTGGAGATGATCACCAATTAGTTTGGTGCAGCAGCTGTGGGAGATTGTTAGTGGCAGGAAGGAAAACAGAACTCCCACAATTCCTCTATATGAGCGCTGGTTCAGCTGCAGAAGTGAACACATAAATAGCATGAATAATTAATTCGTTTTAAAAGGGTTAAGCTGCTGGTTCATCATAATTGTGCTGACTCAGCATTCATTTCAGGACCATCGAAGAGTAAAAGTGAGAGCATAATGCAGCTGCAGTTTCAAAAATGTATAGTTTTATTTGGCGCTTTGACAAACAATCAAACAAACACAAAGGAAGAGAATTGTCTTTATTTTGTTTTTATTTACTGAAAAGCAGTTTTGTCAAGTCCCTTCCATGACTTTTACACATAAAACAAATTATGTGAACACGCTTAAACAAATGTCTTTCCACGCTGACGCATCCTCTAACGGGCCGTGTACAGTTCATCAAAGTTTAAGACTCTCAGAAATAAAGTTTAATTTGTTCGTGTACATCGTCAGAGTGTGAGTTCTTGCATTTCATCTGGCATTTTTCAAATAAGCAATGAGAAGACATCAAAACCCTTCATATTAATACGCTTCAAACTTCTTTTTACCTTTGTCTTGTCAATATTGTTTTGTTTTTAATGTTTTTTTTTAGATAAAAGTATTGTGCCACAGCGTTTTTCGTTGTTGAATACTCCAACTAAAATTGCTGTTCCCCTTGAAAATTAAGCCCTGCTTCATCGGAGCACAGCGTGGACGCTACGCTCCCTTCTTGGAATATAGCGTACACACATCTCTTGATTGTAATTGCTTATGTCTTGCGTTTGTGGATTTAAGTATTTAATTGCACCAAGGAAGCGTATGGAAGCATCAGAGAGCTGTGACACACAGAGATGGAGACAACAGACATGTCATGGCTTTGCTTTTCTGCAGGGTGACGTCCACAACTTCCCACAGGTTTACAATTATTGTTTCAGTCCCCAAAAAAATCAACAAAGAACTGTTGCTGTGCCTTAGAATGGACATTTTGGATTTCTGTCTTTTGTAAATGGGTTTTACAATACAAGTCTATTTTTTATCATTATTAATGTTTTTAGAGATGCATGCTCAAGTCTTCATGGTGGATAAACTGTGGGCATCCAACTATATTAAAAAAACAGCATTGAACATGTCTTTAGAAGATGAAATCCTTAATTATACGTTACTTCTATCATCTCCTAAAATTAAGCAGAATCCAAAATGTCAGTTTTGATTTTCAGAAACTGGATCTGCATTTGATGAGCTTTTGGAAAGCCTGCTTGAAATCATCGTTGAAGGCCGTGTAGATGATGGGGTTAATCAGCGAGTTTAGGTACCCCAGCCAGGTGAAGAGATCAAAGAGTACAGAACTGAACCAGCACGTCGTGCAGATAGCGTTCACGAGCGTGCAGACAAAAAACGGGAGCCAGCAGACAATGAATGCACCCAGGATGATGCCCAACGTCTTGGTGGCTTTCCTTTCCCGTGCAGCGCACAGACGTTTCCTCTCCAGCACGCTGTCTGCCAGCTTCACTTTCACACTATTCATGAAGACAGGCGAGCCTCCTCCCCCACCACCACCACCTCCTGCACTGGCAGAGTGTAGGTGTGCATCCTGGTGGGAGGCAGAATTAAGAGAACAGAGAGAGGAGCCCGCAGAGGTCTGGATGAGCTGCGCTGTGGTGAATCTCTTCCCAGACGACGGAGTCTTAAAAATGCGAGATCGGGCGGCGACATAAATCCGTCCGTAGAGGATGATGAGGAGCACTGTGGGAACGTAGAAGGCGCCGAAGGTGGAATAAAGGGTGTAAGAGATCTTTTCTGTATTTACAACACACTCTTTCAGTTCTCCCTGCGCTTGGGCCTGCCGCCAGAAAAGTGGAGGCAGAGAAATAGAAATAGAGATCACCCATACCACCCCGACCATCATCCCTGCTCTGCGCACGGTGCGGTGTTTTGAGTACTCCAGCGCATCTGTGATGGCCCAGTAGCGGTCCAACGCGATGACGCACAGGTGCAAAATGGAGGCCGTGCAGAAGGTGATGTCAGACGAGAGCCAGATGTCGCAAACAATCTGCCCCAGTGACCAGGTTTTGGTTACAGTGTACACAATGCTTATTGGCATAACTAGAATAGACACTAGCAAGTCTGTGATGGCCAGAGAACCTATCAGGAAGTTGGCAGGCGTGTGGAGCTTCCTGGTCAGAAAGATGGTGGCGATGACAAAAGCATTGGAGAGAGCAGTGGCCAGCGTGACGACGGCTAACAGAACATACAGGGAGATCTGAAGGCTGAGGAGTGTCCCCTCACTCCAAAGCGGAGCTGAAGTGTTGTTGCCGGTGACGTTGTCCATGGTTTGTTCTCAGAGATTAGTCAGCTTCAGTCAATGGCTAATCTGACCATTTCACTTCTCCAGTATCTAATGGTTTCATTGGTGCGGTGGCAGGAAAGCCATGTCCTAATTTGTATTCGGCTCCAGAAACGCAGGCCATCTCTTATTTCACAAAGTGGAGAGGTTCATGATGGACGATGATTTGATACCGTGTTCTCTTTCATGAAGTTTTCAAATGTGATGTTTGCTCATCCTCTGTCTGACAACGATCCGAAGCCAAAAGTCGAGTAAAATGCATCGAAGCAGTTTGTGCGTCCAGTATCCAAATGTCTACATTTTCTTTGGCAATTAAACACAAGCTTTTGCTAATGTGTTCAGCGACGGTGTTTTATTCCGTTTCTCTGGGATGAATGCACTTTTCATAACTGCTCCTCTTCTAAGCATCGTCTGTTTCAGTCGTGGCGTCCACAGGGATTACAAGGCTTAGTCCAAGTTTAATCCAGAGCCCACCGAGGCATTTTATGTCCTGTGTGAAACAAATGAGAGAGAACAATGGAGAGAAAAATGTTAGTTATTCGTCTAATACCACAGTCTGCTTTTAAACATTTTGTACACCAATACACACACAAACAAACAAACTACGTGACAAAGCTCGCACATTCAGTGCAACAACTGCACCTGAGTCACCGGTAAACTAAGATCTGATCTGCAAAGGTATGAGTTTGAAAATCACAAACACCCACACATGTTCAAACATATTTGTTTTGAGATGCAGAAGCAAAAAAATACATTTTTTAGAAAAGTCAAATCCCAGCTCCTAACTCAAAGACTTAACACAAGGCAAAATATGCTAATGACATTTTTTCATGTAACTGGTACGTATCAATGTGTTTTACTAATAAAATTAAGAACTTTTTAACAGGATTACAACAAAAATGCTGAAGTATAGATAGAAACTGACCAGTTTGCTTCCTCACCAGAACGCTAGGACAAGGACGACATTCTTCAAAGTGAAGTGAAAGAAATTGGAAATTAAATATATAATCATCTAAAACGACAGCTCGTCTAGCTTCACGTCTTTAAAGGAAGTTACGGTAGTTTTAACGTGTCAGAGTGTGCATGCTCATGAAGCATTCACACTATAGTGATCCATTTTTCTTCTGTAGGTTTTTTGGCATATTTCTCGTTCCACAATTTTTGCGCTATTTTAACAAATCTTATAACGAAATGTTCAGCTCAATCAGAAAACCCTGCTATGACTTTTGGTATTTAGCAACTTTATTTGGCAACTTTAGCTTTTTGAACTAGTTAAAAAATTTCTGCCACTTTTTTTCTCATAGAAAATTTATTGAGCTCATTTTACACCCTTCAGATCTTTAGATCTGTTTACAACCTTTTACTGCTCCTTTCACATCATGTTCTGGTTCAGCTTCTTTTTTCAGCTACATTCAGCTAATTTCAACTGTTTTTTCAGCTGTTTTGTGATTCATTTAGGTTCTTTCTGCTAACTTCAAGATTTTGGTGCTTCTTCCAACTTATTTCTGCTCCTTTCAGCTTATTTATCCAAGTTTCAGCTTTTTCTGATATTTCAGCTACTATTTAGCTGTTTTTATGCTAATTTTTAGCTTTTTGCCCAGTTACACATTTTTTGCACTCATTTCAACTTTTTCAGCAAAAATATGCTCTCCACTTCCTTCTGATAATTTAAGCTTCTTTCTGCTGTTTTAGCTACTTTTCAGCTGATTTTTTGCTAGTTTATTCAGATAATTTCCACTTTTTTGTACTCATTTCTGTTTCTTTCAGCAAAATTGGGCAAGCGTGTTCTTTCTGCTTTGTTCTGCTAATTTAAGCTTGTTCTACCCTTTCAGCTAGCTTTTTAAAATTTTAGCTAATTTCAGCTATTTTTAGATACATTCAAGTTTTTCATGTTAATTTGTTAATTTGTTAATTTGGGACCCTGTGTACATAATTTCGCTCCACCACATGTACCACATGAGGTGCGAATGACAATAAAGAAACTCTGACTCTGACTCTGACTTAATTTATTCTACTTTTAGCCTATAATTAACTTCTTTATGCTAATTTCAGCTTGTTATGCTCTTTTCAGCTTTTTTCTGCTAGTTTCAGCTACCATTTAGCTCTTTTGATGCTAATTTTAGATTTTATGGCTAATTCCATATTTTAAGCTCATTTCAGCTCTTTCCATGTCCATCTGGTTGTTTAAGTTTCTTTCTGCCTTTTCAGGCACTTTTCAGCTTCTCTCTTTTTTTGATAATTTCAGCTTTTTTAGCTAATTTCCTAATTTTTGTGCTCATTTCTGCTTATTTAAACCTAATTCAACAAATGTGTTTTCTATTTGCTTTCTTCTACTAATTTAGACTTGCTCTTCCATTTCAGATACAATTCAGCATGTCTAGCTAATTTCAGCTGTTTTTCATCAAATTCTTCAGTTCAGCATTCCCACTGCATTTTCACAGGTAACATAATTTCTCTATAGAATAAGATTGTGATTCCTGACCACTCACTGCAAATACTTAACGACCAAAAATACGGTAATACTCTGTGAACTTTAAAGGAATTTGACAGGTTTTTATTTTATGTACAGTCAAAATAATTTAAAACATGTAACAAGGTTTTATTGTTTGAATATTTTACTTCCACACATCAACATTGTTATGAAGTGATGAGAAGCTGTGAATGAAAACAAACAGCTCCGTTTGCCAAAGTAATTAAAATGCTTCCCTTTTCACATTTAGCACATCCTCGTGCCAGAGCAACACAGGTGTCAAAGCTGAGAATATCTTTGTTCCTGATCAAACTGTGCAAATCACCCCCATTTCCAAAACTGTCAAGTGACTCCTGAGCTTTGGAGAAAGGTTACAGCAAAACGACAAAATGACACTTCATTAAGCAATACATGAAAATAATAGTTTTTCTTTAAAGTGATAATTTGTAAATCCTGACTGACAAACTAATCTTGCTAATTAATTGTTGTTTTCATTATGGACTTGGACTGTGTTTTCTGAAATATTTAGACCATATAATCCGTGACCACTGCATTCTCAGAGCTGAGAGGTACCAAACATGGTGAGATGTTTTAGCTCCATAATTTTCTCACAGTTTTTCAGAGGTCCTCAATTTTATGGCTGAACATGCAGTGCTGAAAAAGTTTCAGTTTCCCTCATTCTCTGTCCAAGTTTTCTCAGAGTCAGTCTCAGATAAGGTTCCAAAGATCCGATGCACCACAAAAATGGTTGCATTTGAAAGCACAGAAGTCAAAGTTATCAGTGTTTCATCTCAACAGCAGAAACGGTGAAGGAGCTGCGATCATGTAAACGCTGCAGTGCTCACATTCGATGGCACGTAGGAGAGGTGTTCTCTTCACGGATGAATCCTGGTTTTCTCTGCACAGGGCAAATGGCAGACTGCATTTATGGCGATGTGTGGGTGAGCGGTTTGCTGATGTCAACGTTGTGAATTAGTGACCTGTGGGGGTGGTGGGGTTACGGTACGGACAGGCGTGTGTTATGGACAACAAAGACCAGTGCATTTCATTGATGGCATTTTGAAAACGCAGATACCGCGAGGAGATCCTGAGGCCCGTTGTAGTGCCATTCATCCACGACCATCACCTCATGTTGCAGCATTATAACGCACGGCCACATGTTGCAAGGATCTCTACACAATTCCTGGAAGCTGGAAACATCCCAGTTCTTGCATGGCCAGTATACTCACTGGACATGACACATACTGACCATGTTTGGGATGCTGTGGATCAGCGTATATGACAGTGTGTTCCAGTTCTTGACAATATCCAGCAACTTCACAGCCACTGAAGTGGAGTAGACCAACATTCCACAGAGCACACTCAACAACCTGACCAACTCTGTGAAGATGTTTGCACTGCACGAGGCAAACTGTGGTACACAAGATACTGACTGGTTTTCTGACCCTGTAAGGAAGTGCTCACTAACACGGATTTACACAAATGTGTGAATGATATTTGAGAGAAAAAGACCTTTTGTGTCTTAGATGTTTTAGCTCATGAACAATGGGAACAAAAACAAAAGTGATGCATTTATATTGTTGTTCAGTATACAGTAATGTTCTCAAAATATTCTTCCACCTTAAAGGAGACTCATTCAGGCCAACATGTACTTAAGTTAAACAAGAGTCAAACACACAAACTAATCTATTATACAGGCAGGTCCTTCTCGGGGGGTCGAGATGGGGTAGAGGCAGAGCAGCCAAATCAGGAAACCAGAAAGCCGCGGCTCGACTCCCAGCCATTCCCACATGTTGTGGTGTCCCTGAGCAAGACACCTATAATTGCTCCCCGAGCGCCTACATAGCTAGAGTAAAGGGTCTGGCGATTAGGTTTAGGGTCTTGGTTAGGTTTAGGCACAAGGGTAAGGGGGTTAAGTTTAGGGTTGGTCCTCTGGGTCAGGTGTAAGGTTAGGTTTAGGAAAAGGGTTACATAAGCTGAAAAAAAACAAAAAAAGACACTTCCTGGTTTACCCCCGTGTGACGCTGCCTATTATCAGCGATAATAACGTACCTTTAAACCTACTAGGAGGTAGATGGGACAGTCTCACCGCTACATATGGGGATGATAACAACTAATAACGGCCATTTAATGGATTGATAACACCCGAAGCCGCTCACTATACAAAAGCATTTCTAATTGTAAGATTTTAACATAATGTTTTACACTGCACATTGATATTGCCTTTATTTTTTTAGTGTTTGCACATTACATTAGCAATTTGATGCATTGCCTACATCCAGTTGTTACATTAGTTTTGCGTCAGGAAGGGCATCCGGCGTAAAACAATTGCTCGCTGTGGCAACCCCTGCAAAAGGGAGCATGTGAAAGAAAACTACTTTTTCTTTTTTACATTACATGAGCAATCATAATAACTGGGATCAATAAAATGATTTTTCAGGATTCATTAACTTGTATAAAGGAGTTTTTTTTCACAATGTTTATGTATTTAGAAGCCAACCATTTATGTTTGGAC